GCTGGCCACGATACGGCGGACAGCGCAAGGTCTTCTGGTCGGCGTCCAGGATGGAGATGTAGCGACTGTAGCGGGACAGCGAGTAAAGCATGCTGGAACCCACAGGGGACACTACTCTGTGGGGGACAGACAGACAGACACTGAAATATATTTAGGATAATCATGCTCTCCACCATTTGGTTTACACATTTCTAGTCACCCTTAAACACAGTCTGTGTCCAATTCTGCTTTAATGTTACAATTTGTTTGCCAAATTTAAATTTTGGTCCAGAATAGTGCCGCTGGAGGGCAGTACCAAAATATGTGAGAGTTGCCAAAATCTGCTCATTATAGACTGTTGGAGATAGCTACAATTCTGTACAGAAATTTAAACTGAAATGCTTTGCTCCAACCTTTCTTGTGATAAACAAAATCTGCACTTTGATATGTCACAGTGGAGTCACAATTCAGTGAATTCTGAATTCAGTGCTTCAGAATTCTTCTCACATTTAATTTCTCAGTTAATATTTACATTTAACTAAGAAGGAGTAGAATATGTGCAACTGTGGAGTCAAATGGTGAAGGTTGGCTTCCCTTCAGCATTAACAATATAACGTTTACAGTATCGGGAAACCAACAAGGTGTAACAGAAAGTGCTTCTGGGCAGCCACAGCTCTGATCTGTTCAACAGAATCAGAATAAATTACTTGTTGTACAATACTGAAATCAACATGTCCCAATCCTGCCGGACCTCCTACTCCTGAAAGCCAACTACAATTTGTACATAAAATTATGAGGCTACAGCCTCCTCTCTAAATGTAAGATACTGTAATACTTTAGGTAATTCACAGCCCACTGACTAGAAATGAAAAAGAAGTCCAAGGACAGATGTGAGGCTAAATGTTGAATAGTTGAATAGATGGTTGTGTGAGTCATCACAGACTGAGTCAGACCAGATGAGTAACAGGAGAGTAAGGTGTGATACAAACTACAAAGAGGAATAAACTGTCATTTTCAAACTTCACATTGATGGAGGCTTTCTAAGGAGCATTAAGCTCAATGTTTTAACAAATCATGTGTATAAGAGTGTTGGTTAAAAGCTTAAAATCTAAATGCAAATTGGAAATACCTTTGCAATCCAATGAGTTTCCACCTCTGTAAATCAGTAAGAGTGAAGGGGCAGGACAGCCAGGCTTGAACCCTCTCTCCACACCTGCCAGGACCAGGAACAAAGAGGGCCAGAGCGGCAACCAGTCGGCGGACTCTCCCCTCATCTGCCCCGAGCACCACCAGGGTTCTGCCGCTCAGCAGACACCACAGAGCTTGCATGGCAAAGGGGTACTGTCGCACAAACCTCAACGCTCCTTGTCCAGCCCTTCTCCTCTGACGCAGGGTCACAACCCCCCCGTAGCCAAGAGGTGAGGCAGCCCGATCAGACCCTGTGGAAGCACTCATGGTACAGTCGGACCCATCCTCCGCTGAGGTCCGGGAAACTGCATCTGCATGCAGCCCCACAGGAAGCTCCAGCCCAGCTGCAGGGCTTTCTGAGCTTGGAGAACCCACCATGTAGTCCTCCTGGAGTGGAAGTTGGGCCTGGGGCTCCTGGTTGACCACCAGGGTTTTACAGGGTGGCAGGTGGGAGCTTTGGTTGAGACGAGACACCGCCTCTGGGGCAGAGGCCTCATAAAGTAAACCCTCTTGGCCCATACAGCACGCTGTTTCTATTGGAACCAACAAGTCCGACTCCATCTCATAAGCCCCATCAGTTACTCCGTCACACTCATCCTCCCTGCTGGCCTCCAGCTCAGACACCACTTCCAGCAAAGACACGGGTGTGTCGTCTCCCCCGTTCTCCCCCTCATCATCCCCAGCAGTGGTCTCCATCTCTTCACTGCTGCTCTCCCTCTCCAGGTCAGTGTTATGGTCAGGGGTCAGGTCAGAATCAGGATCAGGAGCTTCTGAGTTCATACTTGACCGATTCTGTTGCCTCTCTGCTTGACCCACCCCACTCTTATCGCTGCTAAAGCTTCCTTTGGTTTCCTCTGAGCTCTCCTGGGTCTCCAGAGTCTGGTCCGAGGGGGAGGACTCCAGATGGCTCTCCACAAGCCCCAGCTCACTCTCTTGAGTATGGCTGGCCTCAGAGGCTGGGTCTAGAGTATCTGGAGGCTCCAGAGCATCAAGCTCTAGAGGTTCTGGTCCTAGCACTATAGGAGGCGGATTTAAGAGTGTATAGTTATCTACAGCATGGTTCACAGCACAGAATGGTCTCAGTGTTGCACCTTCATCTTCATCATCATCACAGAGGTCCTCCTCAAACAGGAAGTTGGTAACTCTCTGTTTCCTGCGTAGCGCCCTGTCCAGCCGGCGTGTGTGCAGGTAACAGAGGTCCCCCCGGAAACTCCTCTCCGTCTCCTTCAGGAGCTGCACGGTGGCCTCGAAATAAGTACTGTCGCATAGCTCTCGCAGGGTCTTCAGACGCTTGTCGAAACATTTTGCAGACTTAGCTTTGATCAGCTGTGGTATGTAGGATGGCCTGCGTTTAACTCCCTCATCTTCCTCCTCGTCCGCCACTTCTTCGCCCCCTTCATCATCAATGTGACCCCATCCCTCCTGCCCCTTCTCCCCTTTGTCACAGTAACTGAAGGGGTTGGCGAGCTTGGAGTATTTTTCTAACAGCTCCTCACACTCGCTCAAACACTCGGTCATACACTTCTGGCAGGTGACAGCATGAGGATCTCTGCGCGGACGGTGATGGTAGGAGCTGATCTGTTTCAGCAGGTCTCTGTGTTCATAGATGCTCCTTTCTACGTTTGCAAGCTCGTTGGCTTTCTCCACAGCGTGAGCGGAGTACATGCGCTGAGGCCCCGCCTCTCTCTGCAGGCCCTCCTCCTTCTGCAGCACAGAGTGAGTGTACCTGAAGGCAACAAAACAGAGTTACTCATTCACATGTGTTTATACCAGAAAAGGGAAGGGTTTGAAAAAGAATTGATTTTTTTCATCAGCGTTAATGAGAAACCACTACACTGAAAATCTGCAGGAGGGGACATCATGAACTGCAAGATTAGGGTTGGGGCTCATTAACCAGTTATGTTTTTATACGTGCTAGCAGCATTAGTGATGGCAATGACTGAAATATCTGTTGAGTTTATTATGTAAAAAACATGAGTGAAGGAGAGAGTGCTTTCAGACACAGCACAAGACATCCCTTCAACCCTGTATTCAACTAAACATCCTTTAAACTTATCTACATGGGTTTGCCAGGCTCAGCTTTCTATCTGTTGTGCAGCAATTTAATTTGTAAACTCCCTACCGAACATTGTGTCGACACATTAAGGGATTCACAGTTACACTGAGTAACTGAGCTCGACAAAGACACGTGGGAGATATCTTACAATGTAACACACATCTGATTAGAGTAGTGATCTAATCAGCCAGGAATTCATCTGTGAAGACAAGTAGGCAAGAGAAAATCACAGCGGAGAATTCTGTTATCAAAAGTCTCACAGCGGTACATTAAAACAGGTGATAGCTCATCGCAAGTCAACTAATGTTGCTGTCTGGAGAAAACCATGAACCTCCAATGTGTCTGGAATAAAGATTAACAGCCTTATCTAAAAGCTGGAGGGTGGGACTTTTAAATATAAATGAACGTCTGTTACATTCAAGCCCTCGCCAAACAAGTTCACACAATGCTGATTAAGCCTATCAACACCAGGTAAATCTCTCTGTATTTGCAGTATACCCGAGTTTTAAAATCTGGTGTCCGTGGCGACATGCCCACACTGGTGTACAGGTAGTGATGTGTTTGATTTACGCCACCCAGAAATGATTGGTTTGCCAGAGTAGTGGGGAGCAGCCGTAGCGACAGTCTCAGAGAGCCACTAGCATGGCTGTAAACTCTTAGTCTTGTGTAATTGGATTTTAATAGGCAAATTATCCTAATCCAATAAACTGAAAGTCCAAAAAATGGTGGTTTAGGTAATTTAAGTAATTGCAATTTTGTTATGGGCTTTGCACCAAGGTACAGTATCAACATTGAGGTTGAGGTTCCAGGAGGAGAGCTCCTGAAAAGGCTTTATTATTCTAGTGTATAATGGGCTCACATGGCGTGTATTTCTGGATAAAGCTGTGTATAATCAAATTCCCACATACTTACTGACACACAGAAACCTGGAAGTCTGGTGGTATTATTCCAGTATGGGATCCCTGGTTGGACTCTTTTTTTTCAATTGTTTGCCCCAGGTTTCCCTTCTACGCAGATTATGCTGTTCACTGTTTACCTAAATAATTCAATGAAATGTTTGAACCTTATGTGGGATAGCAGTATAAAGGTTGTGTTGTGGATCTTACTCTAGGTCCTGGAGCTTCCTCTGGAGTTCCTTGGCAAATGCTCTCCTGTTCCCAGCCTTCAGACACTCCGAGGCCTGTGAAAATCGGAGGGAAAGCTCCTGAAACTGCAGCATGATTTTCCTCTCATCTGCTGAAACATATGCCATACAGAAGGGCCGCACAAAGCCCCGCGCCTCCAGGTCGTAAAGCGTAAGGTGGTGGACGTAGGCGAACGCCCCCTCCTTTGAGTCGCCCAACACCACCCTCGAGTCCTCCACAAAGCTGAGCCTTGGGTAGCCACTGCCAGGCGGATGACCCACGAAGGAGGCCTGGTAGTCCACTGACATGATGCGCAGTGAGAAGTAGTTGAGATCAAAGGTTCCGCAGACTTTGGGATCATCAGGGATGGTGAGGAGAGGCTGGGGGCCCACCTGCTCAGAGAACTCGGAGATGAGGATGAAGTCTTTGGTGAACTTGGCATAGGAGGTTTTAGCCCAGGGGTTGGAGTCAGCCAGCGGATAGAGGGGCACAGAGAACTCCTCAGGGATAGCCCAGGGGTCCAGACTTGTCTGCCCATACTCATCCTCTTTAGTGAAAGCCACCACGTCAGGTGAGCCTATCATAGTGGTGTTGACGAGCAAGGCATGAGAGACTCAACAGTGCAGCACAGTCATAAACCAGCGGTCACAGCACAGCGGTTTAGGGGGGCCACATAAAGCGTCCTGCTCTCACACTGTCCAGGCAGTGCATTTGTAAGTGAGGTTAAAATAGCTGTACATTCTAGGGGCCCAGAGATAGAGAGGATCCATAAAAAATCAAGCTACTTTATATAATTTAAAAAGGGGGTCCCAGAGCAGAGTGGGCCCACAATTCAGTCACTCCCCCTGCAGGAGCCAATCCACAGAATAAGAGCCCTGATATTTATCAGATAAAATAAAAGTAGACACCTCGACAGAAATAAAAATCAGTGTGTCTGTTAACAAAAGCAATTATCTTGCGCCAATCACAGGGTCCGGGAAGGCATCAGACCATTCATGTTGTGCAGAGAGAAAAAATATGAAGCAGCATCAGTGAAGCGCCTCCCTCCGTCTCCTCTTCATGTCTTTCCGACGTCGTGTCCACCACGTTGCTGTGTTCGAGGCTAAAATGCGGGGCGATGGTGCGTGAGACACACCGTTACCATTCAGAAGCGCTACATGTAATTTTCACATCCAGAATCAGACGCCATGTTTACCCAGCTGGTCTAGTCGTGTCAGGTGACCGATCCACCTCCCATCTGGAGAAATTCCACCCTGAAACTGAAAGTTACCAAGTTTTCTCTGATAACTGCTCGTCAATTTTCCAGTTAAGGAAGTTTCTGTATTTGGCCGTAGCCAGGATTTTAGAAATACTGAGGTCATGAGTTAGTCCCCGCAAACATCTCTAGGCCTACATTTTTTATTATTTGGATTTTTCACTTAGTGTTTATTTGGGTAAAGTTGTATTTTCTGCAACTCTATTATCTATGTTGAGCATTTGCCTGTGTTTATAAAATCAACAGTTTCTAGCTTAAAGACCCCTGTCAGAACATACATCAGAACATCTATATTTTACCCACTAAGTACCAGATTACATGCTGTATTTCTCTACAGGAAACCTCAACAAGAATTCAAATTGTGGACCTGCATAATTAATTAAGTAAAGAGTTTTATTTCCTAACATGAAGGCCTTTTCAGAATACTTTCATTACTGATTAATGTTTAATTGTCCAAAAAGCAATTCAATTTAAATATACCGAGTCTACAAATACTATGTCTAAAAATACAAACCCTCAAAGTTGCTAAAACCTCAAATTCCCAAATACCAAGGAAACTGTCTCAGCGTCCTCAGTGTTAGTTTGTAGATGTTGAAATGTCAAAATGCAAATTCTGATTTAGGGTGGATTTTTCTAATTGACGTTAACATAATAAAACCATATTATTTAGAATATAATTGTTATCATGAAAAAGATGACTAATTATAATACGACATGTGCTACGCACGCAGACAATAGTCAATTTGATCGCACCTTTTATTCACTATTATTCCAAACTTCTTTCGTGGAGACGTTTTGGCAGCGCCAGGATTTTACGACAGTTTTACGACCTTGATTACGGCAGTATTTGACAGGCGGGCGGGCAATTTGTAAACAGATGTAAACAGAGCGTAGTGCTACTGTTAGAGGTTGATTTGTTCCTCATAAAGCTTTTAATGAGTGACGTTTGATGCTTTAGCTTATTTTTCATTATTTGATTTATCGGGAGTAGAGTTAGTCAACCGGTGACCACTTTTTAGCTCTTTGTAAAAGTTTTTGGAGCGGATAGCATGGCTGTAGCTAGCCATGTAAGCTAACATGCTAACACAGCGGAGAAACGGCAGCAGGCTGCTTCATGTGAGAGCGGCTCGGCATGCTAGTGCATCTCCTCGGGAGACATTTGCTTCTTCGATCGGGACTACGCCGGCTAGGGATCCAACAGAGGTGTTTCTGTGCGACGCAGAGTGACCGGGGTCCGGACAACCCGCAGCAGGCAGACATGATCCGAAACCGGGCTCAGATCAAGCGCGTCCTCTGCGTAGCCGAGAAGAACGATGCAGCCAAAGGCATCTCGGAGATCATGTCCAGCGGCAGGTCCAGGAGGGTCAGTCATGTGTACTCATCCACGGCACAAAACCCTCCAAAAGATATTGTTATTAGTCGGTGTAGCGCTGAAAGACAGAGGAGGAATCGGCAACAGTTTTGATCAATTGAAGACATTATTCACAAACTGTAAACCTTTTTATTCACCGCGGGAGTTCCCCTCATTTGTTCTGGTCGCTGTTTACACATTGGCCAACCCAATACCCTCTATCCTTAGACCCTAGACCCTAACTCAACCTTTCTGCCACTAAGCTACTGATCACACATCCCACAAAAGAAATCTGGCTGGTTACCATCAATATTGAGTCATCTGTTCCATAATCTGGCAGTACACACTTCCCACTGAGTTAAAAAGACTCTCCCATGTGACAAATGGGAACCCATCTTCCTTAGATTGTTTTTGATTTTTCTTTGGCTGCTCAAGTACTGATTGTCTTCTTTTCTCTTTTAGAGGGAAGGGATGTCAAAGTTCAATAAAATCTATGAGTATGAGTATCATCTCTTTGGTCAGGTAAGTGAATGCAGTAAAATAATTAGATATGCACACATGTACCTGTAAATCTGTTCTTTTGTGTTTTATGTTTTTATTTTTCTGGTCTCCATCCCGCTCCAGAATGTGACAGTAACAATGACATCAGTATCAGGCCATTTACTGGGTCTGGAGTTTAAAGCGCCGTTCCAGAAATGGTAAGTTAAAATAGATTAGACTTATATATTTAGCAACAGACAGTATCTTAACAACGGATTGTATTTGTACCTGTTCTCTCCAAAGGCACAGTTGCAATCCCGTGCTGTTATTTGATGCTGAGGTGGAGAAGTATTGTCCAGATAACATGCTACAAATCAAGGTATGATCATTTACTGTCCTCCCAGGAGTCACAAATATATAGCCTATACTTTGTATTTGAATAAACCTATGGGATCTGTCACTCTTTCTGCAGCCACGATGTGTGTGTCACTGTGATGTTTGACTGATATAAGTAATCATTACTGTGAGGGTTTTAGTCCAGGACTCACTCACAATGCAATTTCAATTTATTTATTTATTTCGAGTCGGCAGTATGCCCAGATCATGTACTTTTTTTTTACCATTTCATCTCTCTGCAGTAGGCGGCTGAAATTTTCATTCAAAGGAAATAATGATGAATGTGGATAATAGAAATGGACTTGAAAGATTATTATGACTCCATCTGAGTAGACACATCTAACCCTCTTTCTTTCCTTTCTCTTTTTTTCTCTGTCCCTCTTTGTCTCTCTAGCGGACACTAGAGAAAGAGGTGAGGCAGTGCCAGGCCTTAGTCATCTGGACTGATTGTGACAGAGAGGGAGAAAACATCGGCTTTGAAATCATAGATGTCTGCAAAGCAGGTATGATGGTAATATATGTGGGTTGTTTTGTTGTGGTGGTGCAAGTGAGCGTGCATCTCAACTCCTTTTTAAAGGAATAGGTCAACATTTTGGGAATTACTGAATTAGTTAGATGAGTTACTTACTGTAAATATAAAGCACTAGCAGCCAGTTAGCTTAGCTCAGCTTAGCACTGCTTCCAGTCTACGACTCTTTCTTTACTGTACAGGCATGAGAGTGGTGTCAACCTTGTCATCCCAAAATGTTGAACTATTCCTTGAACAATTAGTAGGTATAACAGATAGTAGGTTTTGTGTTTGTCCACAAATCTCTCCTGATAAAAATGTGTGTGTGTGTGTGTGTGTGTGTGTGCGCTTTATGAATACTTTCTAGTAAAGCCCAATTTACAAGTCTTTCGAGCAAAGTTTTCTGAGATCACCCCCAGCTCCATTCGGAGAGCCAGTGAGACTCTAACAGCGCCAGATGCTAACATCAGTGATGCTGTCGACGTCCGTCAGGAGCTGGACCTGCGGATAGGTAAGGGAGCACTCTTAAACTGCACTGATTAGTGAAACACTGATGAAGGTGATAATTTCCAGATTATGGGATGGCTCAACAGATAACAGATGCTGGCTCAAAATGAGGCGGCGGTGGTACCATCCTGATCAAGTGCACACACGTGCACATGTACTGCACCTTCAGCTGGCTTAAGCAAACAGTTTTTATTACAGTTTAGTTTCTAATTATTAATTATTAAGTTCTAATAATTATGTGTTTTGTTTTTTAAATAAAGGTGTCCTGTTCAATGTTAAACCAAATACAACATAAATTGATTTACACAGTTGCCAAACAGCTTTTATTGAGAACATGACCACAAATACTGACAAACCATCTACAATTTCATTCTGCTGGGAAAATATTAGTTGCACCTCCTGTTTTTGAAGCATTTAAAAATCAATTCAAACTATTTGAATTTTAAGTGACTTATTTTTTATCTTAGTTCCTAATTTTAATTGTTTGCTTGTATCAGTATAAGTGGCAGTCTTTACTTTATTTCCTTACATTTCACTGATAAAAAAAATTTCACTGACAAACACAAACACTATTTTGCCCTGTACAGGACGGGCGATATGAAACTATATTAAAACACTGAACTGCAGGGCAAAGTAGTTTTGTTTTCTTTAGTGATTATTTTTATGACAATGATGTAACCAGCAGAAACACTGTTCATTTTGAAAGCTGTGTTGATTACAATACAGCGTCACCACATCGGCGTAATTGTAGTTACAAATGCCAAAAAACCACTAAATGTAACGCTTGCTAGAAAATAGTGTTTACCATGAAAACAAGTCTGGATGACGACTAAATGTCACTTTACCCATGATACAACACTGGTGGCTCAGTTTATCTGAAAACCTGTCACGTCAAATGAAAACCTGTCACGTCAAATGGAAACCCTGTTATAGAGTAGTGATTTGTGCTCATCTTGATCTTCATCAGGTGCGTCCTTCACTCGGTTCCAGACGCTTCGCCTGCAGAAGATCTTTCCAGAGTCTCTGGCCAATCAGCTGATCTCGTACGGCAGCTGTCAGTTTCCCACTCTGGGCTTTGTGGTGGAGCGCTTCAAAGCCATCCAGGCTTTCATACCTGAGACTTTCTATAAGATCAAAGGTACAAACTCATCCACGCACTGAGTCTTATGGTTTTAAACTTGATACTTGCTCCTCTTCATCCCTTCTGTTCTGTTCGGGTCTTTGTCTCAGTGCTGCATGAGGTGGAGGAGGACACTGTAGAGTTCAGCTGGAAAAGAAACCGCCTCTTCAACCACACAGCTTGCCTGGTGCTCTACCAGATATGCATGGAGGTACGTGCCTGTTTGTATGTGTGTTATTTATGCCTAGCATGTTAATGTGTGTAAATATGAATCTATATTTGTTGTGTGCTCTTTTAGAGTTATAAGGCATTAAAGCAGGTCTTGAAGTCTCTCTAGATCCTCAAATTTATTAGATTTTTCCTGTACTAGTAACCTTTAGAGGGCTGCTGATGTTGCTATTCTGAGCTCTTTCTTTAGAAAACTGAATGTGAGGTGATTTCACATTTTATGTGTGCTAGCCAGATAACACTGCAGCGGAGAGTTAGAAGGCCCAACTCTTAAAGACTCGTTATTGTTGTCATGTTATTACGTACTTTGTTACTAGTTTTTGTTCCTGATGTAATGTTGAAGTTCTTAGTGATGCTTTTAGTCTCTGTCTTGGTCTTATTTGCCTCCCAATCCCTAGGGTATTTATTGTTTATTCTGGTAATATGCTAATTAATAAGCTAATTTGTACTGACATGTTGCCTAAATTTACAGCAATACTTAGAGCTACCTGCTGTCCTGTTGTGCATTACATTTACAGTCACTCATTTGGCAGGCACTTTTTATCCAAAGCAACGTACATTTGATGAACAACATACAAGCATCAGAAAAGTGAGAGATCTACGAGTAACAATAGATACTAGTAAGTGCTATTAACACAAATGGCATCAATGGGATAAATACCTAGGAGGACGCAATAAGAGTTAACTACAAGAGAATTGTAAAGAGATGGAAGAAGAAGAACACAGGAAGTGCATGTTGGGGGTAGAGGTGTTAAGAGTTGTTATGAGTTTTCAAGAGCTTCTTGAGTTAGAGAGGGACGCCCCCGCTCTGATGTCCTGTAGTAGCTCGTTCCACCATCGTGGTGTCACAGATTAGAACAGCCTGAGATTGCTTTGTGTGTAGGGATGACAGATCCAGGCTGCGTTTGTTGGAAGAGTGGCTGAGAAGGAACGTAAGTTTGTATTATGGAGTATAGGTAGATGGGTGCAGACCCAATAGTCAATCTGTATGCAAGGATTAATGACAAGAAGTCACTGAGTGATGGAGTGATATGAGTCCTTTTACTGTAACCTTTATATGTTGACTTAACACAACACAAAACTAAAATGGAAATGCTCTGCTAACCTCATCAAACACAACATCATTGAATTTTTTTCACAGAATCTTAGTATCCCACTTTCAGTGATAAATAATTGGATGCATAGAAATAAAATAAGTCCCAAAAGCTGTTAACATTGTACAACCAGTTATTATGATATTGCATTTAAAATAATACATAAAATCAGTTGTTATCAAACAGTGCTGATGCCTGATAACTCAGCCATAATCATTATCACTCACACAGACTTTGTGTTTTTCCAATGACCATTACATTTTGATTTAGTTGTGATCTGTGCGATAGTGTCGATACATTTTGTTGTTCTGTAATCTGATGTTTGATGATCTCGCCTCAGCAGCATCTTATTGTTTTAAACCCGTGGTCTCACTTACTGGTGGCAGGATAGCTGTCATCTGAATCGATGACTCGAAGAAAAAAACACTTTCACTTATTCTTTGCCAAGATGCTCACAGCTGATGAGCATGTAATTATCACTTAGCTAGTTTTCACTGTTTCTCACTCGGCAAGATGTGACAGATCCGGAGCCAAACTCAGGTTAGACAAGCACAACACTGAATGTCCCTGCACACTAAGCTCAGTCAAAAACATCAAGAGTTTTTCTTCTTTCCTTCGGTGTAATATTACCTAATCAAGAAACAATCTCACAGTTGAATTATTATTTAAATTTGCGTAAACTCATAATTTAATAAACTACTTAACCCAAATTAATACAATAGTATCAGGCATTTATACTTGTTTTTGTGAAATTCCCCACAATCTTTCCTGATATTTAAGGAAAGATGTGACTGGTAACCCCACTCTGCACACTCCCCCAGTATACTGAATGTACTTAAATGTTGAAAACATGTTTTAAAAAGCTTTGGCGGGCTCAGACTCAGACTGTAGCTGTAGCTGCATTACATTTACCAAATCCACAGAAGAACAATGAGGCATGACAAAATAGAAGAGGGTAATGTTGTTGTTTAGAGTTTATTGCAGTTCATTACAAATCCAGTGGTGGGCGATATTGTACAGCCTAATGAAGGCTCTCCTTCACTAGGCTTTATTAGATCTGGCCTAGTCATGCATTCACATGAAGTGGTTACTGTTAAAATCACCTGCTTATATACAATATAATATAATATATATATATATAATAGTTTAATGAGATAGTACAATTAAATTGCCTAGACCTTTTTAAATAAACTAATAACTTTGGATATAGAAATGGGCAGACAAATTACGAGATAGGGATAAATATTTTTCAGGTTACTTGTGCTATTTCTCGCCGTAGAGAGTTCCCTCAGCTTCTCCTTACATAAATTGCACTTGAATATTATGTTTTTGTCCTTTGAACTGAGAGTTACGGTAGTATAGCCCTTTTAAAAATGTGGAGTCTGACTCAGCCATCAAACTTCGGGGGACATTTTTTCTGGTGCGTCATTGACGGAAGAGGCGCGATGTGGAAGAATTCTTAACAACAACAACAACAACAAACTCTATAAAGTTCTGCTAAAAGTAATATAACAACACTGGGCAGTGATCTGGTTCACGTCCTGATGATGCTGAAGATCTGACAAGGCTTTTAAAAAAGTCCCCAAATTATATATTGAAAAACAAATTATTGTTTTTATATTTACAGTGGATCAAATGCCTGTGTGTAATGTGAAGTGTCCTGTGGAGTTTTCCTGTAAATAAAATGACTGTTTACCTTCACCATTTTCACCAGCACATTGTGTGTCAAAGTGACAAAAGTATTGAATGCTCTTCCTTCCTCATAAAACATTTTTAAATTTTGAAAATTTGAAACTGCTACACTGAGCAGTAATGCTGATTGGACCGGTTAGTTTTAGATGTATGTATTTATTGACAGATCCTGTTACCACTTAGGGAAATTATGCACATAATGTATTAAAATACACTGATAGTTGATGTTGCCCTCCCAGAAAGGGACCATAGACTTTTGTGTGTGTGTGTGTGTGTGTGTGTGTATGTGTGTGTCTCTACTCTCTAGTGAAAGTGCGTCCACACATATGTACCCACCTGCAGCTGTAACCTCAGAAGGACACAGCTGTAAATTTGAATGTGTTGTCGACCTGAATAAAATGGGCAGAAAGCCACATCTAGAAAAAAAGGTACACACGAAAATATCCTTTCATTCACTTCCAGGATCCCATAGCAACAGTCACCTCAGTAACCAGCAAACCCAAGAGCAAGTGGAGACCGCTGCCTTTGGACACAGTGGTAAGAATATGAAGTCAAGCAGTCACAAACATGCATATGCTGTATGTATAACACATCCGTTTTATGGTATAAAGTGTATATAGTAGTTTTCCCTACATGGCAGACAGAGTGGTGTGTAGTGCGCTTCAGTGTCCTGGGTCCTTGTATCTAAACCCAGTCTAACCAGTCCTCTACCTTTTATTTGATCAACAGGAACTGGAAAAGCTGGCATCTCGTAAGCTACGAATAAATGCCAAAGAGACCATGAAAATTGCAGAAAAGCTCTATACCCAAGGGTGAGTGCATGTGCATACTGCTGTCCACACAGCAAAGTATTGTCTTGGTCCGACCATATGCTAACTGTCCTTGTCAGTTTACCCTCCCTCAGCTTTTTGGATCCTTCATTTGAACTTGTTGGTCTTTTTAAACCACCTCAAAGTCACGTCTTTTTTGTTTTTTTTTACATGAAAAGACACCATCTGGTAGGGTGGTGTCTTTCAGGTATTTAATAGATGAGTTTACCAGCAATGTCACATTATAGAAGCGTTCCCTCTTAGTTTGTCTGTGTGGAGATGACTCGTGACTGTGTGTGGTTTTTGGGGGCGGGTGGATCTGCTCAGGTATATCAGCTACCCCCGTACAGAGACAAATATTTTTCCTGCAAACCTGGCTCTCGGCCCCCTGGTAGAGCAACAGACACAAAGCCCGGTCTGGGGGACGTTCGCCCAGCGGGTAATGGACCAGCCTGGGGGTCCCAACCCGCGGCAGGGCAAGAAATCTGACCAAGCCCACCCCCCCATACACCCCACCAAGTACTCCAATACACTACAGGTAAGTCAGTTTGTGGTTTTTCCCCCTCGTAATCTGAATGTTTTGCCCTTTTCATTTCAAATATTAACAACAAATAGACATAAAAAAGTCAAATATTATGCTACCAAAATGTTCTTGTTTTTTACATTTTGAATCGTAATAAATATTCTAAATAAAACACTCCCACTGTAAATAATTGGTGGCAGGTCTTTCCGTGCCCAAACAATCCTTGTCATAGCCCTCAACTGTTTATTATTTTTCAACGATATGATGGAAACATTAGGTTCAAAGGTTTCACAGATCGCCTCCAGCAGCCCAAAGGTCATAGAAGTTGGATTCATGTATAAGATCATTTGGAGGGAGAAAAAAACACTGATCAGGATAAAACAAAAAAGGGGATTTTTTTTTTAGCTCCCATGTCCTTTTAAACTGGCATTTTGTGAACTTTGAACTACATGTATAAAAAGTTTCTAGTAAAAACACGTACTTGAACAGGTGATGGAAAAACAGGCACAAGTAATGATTTTCTGTTTCTGTTCTGTGTCTAGGGCAATGAAGGTCGCGTGTATGAGTTCATTGTCCGGCACTTCTTGGCTTGCGTATCCCAGGATGCTTTGGGGAACGAGACTGTGGTGGAAATAGACATCGCCCAGGAGAAGTTCTCCACCTCGGGACTCATGATCCTTGCAAGAAACTACCTGGATGTTTACCCATATGACAGGTGGAGCTCCAAGGTATGTTGTGTTTTAAGGTTATGAACTCTGTGAACTCACTATAACAATTTTTTGTTTATTTGTTCACTTATAATAGCAATGATTGCTGCTCATCTAAGGGCTTCTAACTAACTTCACTCAGCCTCTTGCTGCTTGTGTGGAATTTATCCCAGTAAACCTGCTTTGTATGTTCTAGCTGATTCCAGTGTATGAGCAAGGCTCCCAGTTCCAGCCCAGCGCTATCGAGATGGTGGACGGACAGACGAGTCCTCCGCAGCTGCTCACTGAAGCTGACCTCATATCACTGATGGAGAAGCACGGCATTGGTACAGCACAAGCACACACAGACTGTGTTATTAATGTGTACGGTCTCAACCCTGCCTGTAAACATTTTAGAAAATATTGATGAATCATGTCCACACTAGCCAACATACTCCCATACCCTTATAGTTTTATGATATCAATATATATTGTGTATACAGTACATTGTGATATAGTAAATGTTATTAAAATATTCTGCACATTTTAACTGAGAAAACCACTTATGTATAAAATCGCGCTGTCTGTTTTGGGCTCATTTAGTGAATTAATAACATTGCCGCATTTTCTGCGGCAGAAGAAAACATACCTCGGTATAAAAGGTATAGAAAAATCTTTATTTCTATCATGCCAGTACATAATAGTCATCGTTGGACCATGTGTGTTCACCTGGATTTATTTTCACATTTTCACATTAAGGACTTTTTTTGTGTGTCGGAGTGTCTCTGGTGACCTGTTGGCACGATGTCTGATTTTACAGTACCCTGTTCAGTAAAAGCAGAGAAACACTAACCTGAAGCAAACCTGGCTTCAACTTGGAGACCCTTTTGATAAGTCAACATACAACTGTTGTTTGTTCAGGATCAACTGTAATGCAAACACTTCTGTATATTACAGGCACAGATGCAACCCACGCAGAGCATATCGAGACTATAAAGAGTCGCATGTATGTGGGCTTGACAGCTGACCAGAGGTTTCTCCCTGGAGAGCTCGGCATGGGACTGGTGGAGGGTATGTACGCACACCCACAATGCATACCACAATATACTGAAGCCTTTAATACATAGAGATGTTGATGGGCCCCCTTATGCCTTTGTCTCTGTCACTAAAATATTTTACATACCAGCTATACAAATGTATGTGTTTGTGTAGGGTACAACTCCATGGGCTATGAGATGTCCAAACCAAACCTGCGTGCTGAATTGGAGGCTGACCTCAAGCTGGTATCAGAGGGCAGGAAGGACAAACACAGCGTGCTGCAGCACTACATCCAGAAATACAAGACTGTCTTCATTGAATCCGCCAAGAAGGCAAAAAAGTTAGTTAAAATTTACCTCGTAGGAAATTTGTGTGCTTCTGGTGCACCGTCTGTTCCCAAATGAGCAGAAACATGTCATGATTTAAAATGATGAGTTAGTTACACCTGTCCTGTAATCACAGCAGGCTGTTGGTTGTTGGGACCCAAGTTAGAAAGTACTTTTCTGTTGTTTCCTCAGGCTAGATGAAGCTCTGTCGCCATATCTGGGTGCAGCTCAGCAGATCACCGAGGCAGAGCAGCAGGACATGGAGATCCCGCTGCCGGTCAGGAAGTGCCCTCACTGTGGGCGGGACATGGTGCTGAAGAAGAAGAGGGAGGGTAACAGGTGAGATGAGATAAAACACTTTATGGGACCATGGCAGTTGCTTTACACATTGTAACCCTAACTACAAATCAACAGAATATTAGTTTTTAGTTTGATTTTCTACTTTGGTATCTGTCATGAAAATTCAAATGTATTATTGCGTAGTAATGCAGTTCCTTTTTGCTGCTACAACTGTATCCTTTTACTTCAAATTAGTTTGATAAATGTAACAGCACACCTCCACCTGTCGCCCTGTAGTAAGTACCTATCCTGCGTGGGCTACCCAGCCTGTAAGACCGCAGTGTGGTTCCCCGACACGGTGCTGGAGGTCAGCAGAGATGACAGCATTTGTCCCACCTGTCAGCCGCACCCTGTTCACATGTAAGTATTTATTTTACACTTAACTAGACCAAACACAGGAAACCATTAACACAGTTGATCAAGATACATCATAAAGATTTGTCCTTCGACCTGCTTTGCATATTATTTTGTGCTCAGACATTTTGTGAATCCGATGAATTGTGATTAAGCTGATTTAGGTGTTGTTCATTCAGTTCTACAAAGCCTCAAGTTTGCAACTCACCATTATTTTATTATTGTTTTGAAGTGTTCCCCACACACAAACAACCAAAACAAAAGTCTACACCAGGGGCCTGTACCATGAAGCAGGATTTGAGCTTATTGAAGTAACTTCGGGGTTAACCCTGGGTTTTCAGTACCAAGACGGTGGTTACCGGGGTAGATCACCATAGTAACTTATGCTGAATGGCTAACCTGCTCCGGAGCAGGTTATGTTCCAGATAAGAGAGCAACTCTATGAAAACACCACCTACTGACCAATTGGCTCTCTTGGAAAATGACATCACCACCTGTAGGAGACCCCACAGACTTATGTTTGCTGTGGTGATAGCGATATCATCCTACAGAGACTGATTAAAACCCTCAGGCTATTGTAGTGTACAGGTTTTTACAGTAGCCTAGGCCTACTAACTGCTTTGAAAATGTGTTTCATATTTTTTATTTGCTCCCCAGTCTGTTTCACACAGTCGTTGAAATAAGTCTGTTTCATTTTTCTTATGTGAGGCTGTATATTATGAGCAGTTTGGTAGGGATATTGAAATAAATTTTTATATGAACATAGGCTATTTATTTTAGGTTAGTAGCTATCTTATAGGCTATCAGAGAGACATTTTCCAGAGAGGTTTTCCAGAGAGGTCATGTTCCGATCCACCTTTTGCGATGTGGGCGCAGGTAATGAGGTGAGTTTTCAGTAGCCTAAATGTTGAGATCCAGTCTTTCAACCACTGTTTGAGCACATTTAATGGCATGAATGGATTTTTCATTTCATTGCTTTATGAAGTTAATTTAGAACAATGTTTGGAACACTTTTGAGTGTGTTAAATAAATGAATCTAATTTTTTAAGTGACAAGAAGTTTTTTAAAGTGAGGTGGAACAACCACTTATTCAGTGGCCGAGTCTTCAAATGTGGAAACTCTCAGACAGACGCTAGTATAGTATAAGTATAAGGCTGATATTTTCATAGACGCCATAAGAACACATCAAATCAACACATTATTATAGATAACACCTGTTAATTTAGGCACTCACACTGTCTGCAATTTTCTGTCTCCGTGCATGTCAGCTGCAGCCGTGCTACTTATACAATGTCGTATTTCTGTTGTTTTACCGTTTGTTTGTTTGTAAAATATGACGCTCTGATGCCAGTGGATTGTTCATGTCTGCGATTGGTCATCTGCTGTTAACACCGCCTCTTTTATGTGAATGCGCTCACGGTGTGATAACCAGCTTCGTGGTACTGCTTATCCCAATCGTAATTGTTAGGGTTAGTGAAGCCAGATAACGAAAAGATATCCGGGTTTTGTTGAACTCGCCTCGTGGTACAGGCCCCAGGGGTTTTTCAAGGTCTGGGGGACTGTGGGCCTCCCCTCAGACAAAGCTTGGAAAAAGCTGCCCCCTCACATCCCTTTAGTTTACTTGCTTAGCTTAGCTGAAATCCTGGATCAGAATCAAAATCAGAATCAGCTTTATTGCCAGGTATGTGTACACATTCGAGGAATTTGACTCAGGATTGTACGTTGCTCATGATATGCTTACTCATCCAATTAGACAATAATAAGGCTACAGTGTAGACAACACAAATATACACACTATGAACAAAGAACAATATAGACATATTCACAAATAGTGCAGTGAGCAGAGTTGGTTTGCGGTGATGTTTCCTGTCCGTTTCCTGACTCTGGAAATGTATAAGTCCTGAATGGAGGGCAGGTTGGCACCAATGATTTTTTCTGCAGACCTGACTGTCTGTTGTAGTCTGCTCCAGTCCTTTTTGGTGGCAGATCCAAACCAGACAGTGATGGCCGTGCAGAGGACAGACTGGATTATGGCTGTGTAAAGGTGGATCACCAGAGAGCCAGCTTATCAACCTCCCGTCTGTAGGCTGACTCATCGCCGTCCCGGATGAGGCCAATGACCGTTGTGTCGCCAGCGAAATTCAGGAGTTTGACAGATGGGTCTCCTGAGATGCAGTTGTTGGTGTAGAGGGAGAAGAGCATTGGGGAGAGCATACACGCCAGTGCTGATAGTCCAGGTGCTGGATGTGATGTTCCCCAGCCTCACCTGCTGACTCCTGTCAGTCAGGAAGTTTGCGATCCACTGACAGGTGGAAGCTGGAACAGTGTGCTGGATGAGTTTGGTTCTGAGGATGTTTGGGATGATGGTGTTGAACGCCAAGCTGAAGTCCACGAACAGGATCCTTCCAAATGTCCCTGGAGTGTCGACGTGTTGCAGGATGTAATGCAGTCCTAAGTTGACTAGGAGTGGGGGAGAGGTGTGACTGTGGGCTTTTCAAACCTACAATAAAAGCCATTCAGCTCGTCTGCCAGTTGTTCAGTACCAGCAGTGTTGGGGGATGGTCTCTTGTAGTTTGTTAGTGTCCGTAGGCTTCTCCACATTGACACAGGGTCGTTGGCTGCAAAGTTGTTATTTAGCTTTTCGGCGTAGCTCTTCTTTGCTGCTTTGACCTCTTTAGTCTTTGTGTTCCTGGCCTGGTTGTACAGGATTCTGTTCCCACTTCTGAAGGCCTCCTCCTTGGTCTGACGAAGCTGCCTGAGTTTCGCTGTGAACCAGGGTTTTTGGTTGTTCTATGTACGGAAGGTTTTAGTTGGCACACACATGTCCTCACAAAAACTGATGTAAGATGTCACAGCATCAGTTAGTTCGTCCATGTCGGTGGCTGCAGCCTCAAAAAGACTACATTCAGTGCAGTCAAAGCAGGCCTGTAACTCCAGCTTTGGTCTCCAGGAAAGGGTTCGCTAGGGAGCTGTGGAATAATGCGATCAGTTGAAAGTCCGAGATTTAAGAGCTCTTGTAATGTAACCAGAGAGGAACGGCAGAAAACAGAGTTAATAAACAAAAACACAAAAAGCACTATGGAGAGTAATCCAGAGGCTGCCATCCTCCGCGGCGCCAGCACACAAAAACGACATACCTATTAGCCCTATGGAATCATGGTTATGTTGTATGGTGCCATATTGACTCAACAGTTGAGTTATACTTTATTATTTTATACATTAAGTGCAGACTACACCAAATACATAAAAAGTATAAAAATAAAATAAATAAATAAAAAATATTTTTCGTTTCCTTTAACTGAGCCTCCCTCAAGTTGTTTGAAGCCCCCTGGGAAGGCTCGCCTCCCACTTTTAAAACCTCTGTTCTAAATACATACTGTTACACTGTGACAGTAGATGTATGATGTTTTCTGCATCTCGAGATAGAGCTAAAGTTTAAAAAAATAGCCCTGATGATGTCATTACCATCAGCCTCAGCTGTTTACTGCTAGTTAGCAAATGTTAGCATGCTAAAATGCAAAGACAGTGAACATTGTAAACATCTGCATAACATCAGCATGTTAGCATGCTGACATTAGCCTTTAGCTCAAAGCAACACTGTGGCTAACTACAAGTACAGCCTCACAGAGCTGCTAGCATTGCTGTAGACTCCTAGTGGGTTTTTTGTCCCAACTTTATAGTTTAACCTGCAAATTAGCTTCAGCTAGACAGATGCATAACATCTGTTGCATTGCTTATCTGTATGTAACGGTGTTGGTCTGTATGTTCCCTATTAACAGGAGAGAAATGAAAGACTAGTCATTTTTTAGAATAACAGCTGACAACCTGTTTGTTACAGAGTCTCAGAAAGTTAAATCAATGAAGGAATTAAATTATCCGTACACAACTGGAACATTTAAAGATTACAGTCCTACTGATTGCTGATTCCCTTTTCAGTTCCTGGTTGTTGTATTAACCCAACGAAGGAATAACTTAAAATTTATGGTCTTTGAAATTGGCTTGAATTTTGTTGCCCGACTGGTTTGGTTTTTCTGTGCACTATGTTATAAATGTTGTGTGTTGGAGATCCTTCAGTCCACATCATTTTCATCTCAGCAAAATTCAGACTGACAGTAACTACACATATTTCATTTTTAAAATGAGGCAAGTTTATTTGTATAGCACATTTCAACAACAAGGTAATTCAAAGTGCTTTACATAAAACATAAAAGCAACAGGGAAATATAAAAAAGTTAAAAGCAACATTGGGAAATTGAAAAAATACACATTAAAAAAATAATAAAAGTTACAGTGCAGTGTATAATCAGGGTTAAAGGAGTTAAATAGAAAATATATATAATAGAATTTATAATTTAGTTACAATTATTTTGAAAAGAGAATAAACAGAAGTACACTTAATCTACTCTCTCTAGCTAGTCTGTACTCGGTTCCGTAGCTTTGCGTCCACTGAAACTCCAAAAACCCTTGGACACTACAGAGAAACCAGGACATGTCTGTCCGAAGGCCGCTTTGATCCAGTTATACTCTGGACCCACCTGCGCTTTTACAGGTGGACAGAGTTTCCTGCAAATCATTCAGGCATGAGATTTAAGACCACTTTTTTCACTCTGTTCAATCTCACTCTCATCTTTTCACTCAATTACCTACTCATTTCTCGCGCAAATATTTAATTAAAAGCAATGGTAAAAAGCTAAAAACAAAGAAAAAGAAAACAGGACAGTAAAAGTTACAGTGTAGTGTAAGTTATCAATCTACTAGTTAAAGGCAGTGGTAAAAAGAAAAATCTTAAATATTTAAAAAGTCTTCAGTCTTAATTTAAAAGAACTGACAGTTTCAGCAGACCTGCAGTTATCTGGGAGTTTGTTCCAGATATAAGAAGCATAATAACTGAACGCTGCTTCTCCTTGTTTAGATTTGACTCTGGGGACAGAAAGCAAACCTGCCCCAGACGACCTGAGAGGTCTGGATGGTTCATAATGAAGCAGAAGATCAGAAATGTATTTTGGCCCTAAACCATTTAGTGCTTTTGAAATCAATTCTTTGACATACAGGAAGCCAATGTATAGACCTCGGGCAGCAGCGTTCTGAATCAGCTGCAGCTATCTGTTGGATTTCTTAGGGAGCCCTGTAAGGACACTGTTACAGTAGTCGAGTCGACTGAAGATAAATGCATGGATACTTTTTTCCAGGTCTTGCTGAGACATAAGTCCTTTAATCCGTGATCTATTCTTCAGGTGATAGAAGGCTGACTTTGTAATTGTCTTAATGTGGCTCCTCAAATTCAGGTCTGAGTCCATGACTACACTACAGATTTCTGGCTTGATTTGTGGTTCTTAACATTACAGATTGAAGTCGAGCGCTGACTTTCAATCGTTCCTCCCTGGCTCCAAAAACAATAACTTCAGTTTTATCTTTGTTCAATTGAAGAAAATTCTGGCAAATCCAGACGTTGATCTGCTCAATACAATTACTCAGCATCCGTATGGGATCATAGTCCCCTGGTGAAATGGTTATGTAAATCTGTGTGTCATCTGCATAATTATGGTAACATTTTGTTGTTTTTCATAATCTGAGCCAGTGGAAGCATGTAAATGTTAAACAAAAGAGGCCCCAGAATGGAGCCTTGGGGAACTTCACATGTCATTTTTGTCAGCTCAGATGTGTAATTACCTTATAGACACAAAGTAGTCCCTGTCCTTTAAGTAGGATTCAAATCATTTTAGTACTGTGCCAGAAAGTCCAACCCAGTTTTCAAGTCTGTCTAGTAATATGTTGTGGTCGACCGTGTTGAATGGAGCACTGAGATCCAATAATACTAAGACTGAAATTCTGCCACTGTCAGTGTTTAAAGGGATGTCATTGAAGACCTTAACAAGAGCCGTCTCAGTGCTGTGGTGTGGTCGAAAACCTGACTGGAAGACATCAAAACAGTTATTTAGTACCAAGAAAGCACTAAGCTACTGAAAAACAGCTTTTTCAATGATTTTAATTACTAGATTTGATATGGGCCTATAATTGCTCATTAGTGACCTGTCTAGATTGCTCTTGTTTAAGAGTGGCTTAATGACCTGAGAGGAGAGACATGTTGACAATTTGTAGTAGATCTGAGGCCATGCATTTAGACACATTTTTGAAAAAAACTGTTGGCAGAATATCAAGGTAACATGAAGAGGATTTCAGATGTTGTATTATGTCCTCCAGGATTTTATGGTTAATAGAATCAAATTGTTCCATGAACACGCAGCTTACATTTCAGACATTATAGTGTACCAAACACAACAACAAAAACAGATGAAGCTCTCTGTGGCTTCAGCAGTGCAAGAAACTTGTCCAAATTCTTGTTTACACAAGTGGGCGTCAACCCTTTGAGCACGTGCCTCAGCTCAGTCCAAATATAGGGCACGCTCACCAGCATCGAGCCAAAGTGCTCCACACCAGCATCTGTTACCATAGCAACCAATCTGGTACAGAGCTCAAAGTTGAACTACGGCACTTGTTGTAAAACAATATCGCTGTTTTTTTAATCAGATCTCACCCAGCAGTTTCAGCCTGTTGGATAACTTCAGATGCTATTAACAGCAAATACATGCAATCACTTACTGCTGCCGCCTCACTGGTCACCACAGCAACTTGCTGTATTTAATTGTATTGGAAATCATCTTTCAAATTTCATGAACTATTTTCTCACTCAAACTCAGCCACCACCAAACTCTGTATTTATAGCCTGTTTTTCATGTTTACATACTATTTTACATTTACATCCCAAACCTGACATAACGCATCGTTATTTATACCAGGAGGTTTTTTTGTTTCTTTCTTTGGTAAAGCTCCATCACACTGGAGTTTATACTGAGTTTGATTTCTAAAACATTTGTCTCCTGTGTGTCCTAGGTTGAAGTTCACGTTTCGCAGGGGCAGCCTCCCTCCCATGATGCCTTTAGAGTTTGTTGGCTGCATCGGTGGATGTGACGAGACGCTAAGAGAGGTGCTGGACCTGAAATATCTCAGAGCAGGGGGAGTGGGAGGCGGTGGAGGAGGTGGAGGAAGAGGAGAGGGCCCTCGTCCACCAGGTCCAAGGCCACCCAGACCAGAGCCACCCAGAGCCCCAAGATCAAATCCTCAACCTTCCCTTCCTCCTGTCCCCTCCTGGAACCCCCAGCCACGACCTCCACCGGGTGGCGGTCCAGACACCAACAGTGATGTCATTGTGTGTAACTGTGGTCAGGATGCCCTCCTCCTGACCGTGCGCAAAGATGGCCCCAACCAAGGTCGCCAGTTTTACAAGTGCAACGCTGGGAGCTGCAACTTCTTTCTTTGGGCAGATCAGCCAAGTCAGCAGGGGGCACCCCAGAGTCGAGGGCTTCCGCTGCAACCACCACAGACTTACCAGCCTCCGAGGCCCTCTCTGGGGTTCAGGGACAACTCTGGAGGAGGTAGGGGGCAGGAAGGGGGCTCAGGAGGACATGTGGGACACACGATGTGTAACTGTAATGAGACAGCGGTGACGCGCACTGTTCAGAAGGACGGACCAAACAAGGGCCGGATGTTCCACACCTGCGGGAAACCAAGAGACCAACAGTGTGGCTTCTTCCAGTGGGCTGATGAGAACGAACCTCCACCAGGTAAGGCTCACACACACACACACACACACTGATCAAAACATCACATTTCCTTTCAAATGTTCTTTCAAAATCCAGTCAATGAGAAATTTTTAGCTTTGCTAGGAATGGCAATCAGTCTGTCGGCCCACCACTGAAATATCTCAACAACTATTATTTTAGTACAGATATTCAAGTGATCCCTTAACTTTCCCTCTAGCGCCATCATTAGGTCAAAATTTCAATTTTACAACACTTTGGTTTATTACTAAATTCCTGTTAAACTAAAGACATTCCCATCAGCCTCAGCTGTACACTGTGTTTACTGCTAATTAGAGTCAAAATGAGG